TAGCTCAGTTAACAAAGGATGTTCTTTTCACAGGTAGCACCAATGCAGTTGGATATACGTGCATAAAATTAAAAAATTGGGAACATTAGTTGAACAAAATTAATTTCAGATATATGATAGACCTAGATTTAAAAAAAAAAAAAAGCTAAAGATGCAGAAAGCAAGGTTTGGCACCGAAATCATCGTGTAGCTCCAGCTGTTTCCCCAGCATGTTATCAGGAACATTCAGATAAGCACTCCTCAGGAGTGCCCAGTGGAAGCCAGGGATTTTCTCTTTGGAGTCGAGGAGAGCACTCCACTTAGATGTGGACTGAGTCTCTGGTCTCATAGACTCTTGTCTTGGAAGGGGCTTTTGGTCTCAGTCTAATTCTCTTTAAGCTAGACAGGAATCTAGAGCCCAGGAAGAAGAGGTGTAGCAGAGGAAGCCACAGTTGGTAAGAAAGTGGGGACAAAACCCTGTACTTCTGATCAGAGCCCAGGGCTCTTCAGCCTTTGCCTTCCTGTCTTCTCCATGTACCTTACATGGCATCTCTACATCTCCCTGAGATTTCCTAGGGAAGTTTTTTGCTATGCATCATTAAATGTGCTCTTCAAAATTTACACTCTGGTACCACATTTTCATATAGTGGGCTGGGAGCAAACTTGTATTTATCAGCCATATCTAAAGAGCGATGGCAGAATAATCTATCACCACCCATACTCCTTATATGCAAGGGCCCTTTAAACTGTTTAATTAAACAGCTGAACATTAGCTTAGCTATGGAGGCTTGGTATCCTCTTCAATCTGGACTGCTATACCAAGTACCATAGACTGAGCAGCTCGTATACAGCAGGCATTTATTTCTCACAGTTCTGGAGACTAGAAGTTCATGGTCAGGGTGCTGCCTGGTTGGGTTCTACTGAGAGCTTCTTCCAGACTGCTGACTCCTTGTTGTGATCTCACATGATAGAAAGAGGGCAAGGCAGCTCTTTGGAGTCACGAATCTCATTCATGAGGGCTCTACTCTCGCAACCTAATCACCCCCTGATATCGTCACACTGGGAATTAGATTTCATCATGCAGATGCAAACAGTCCATACACTTGGTAATGGGTCAACCTGCCTTTCCCAGACTGCCCTTCTTCGTATGCTTATGATTAGAGAGGGCTCCAAGAGAGATTCTGATGGGATATTTAGAGGACAAATATGAGACAGCTGCTGTTTGAGTGTGTGTACCCACACACCCATCACTGTGCTAGCTCACCCTGCTGGCATGAGGCAACAGCTGGACCTTCCACCCTCCCCAATCCCCCTTCAGCTTCTCTGACTCCTGGCCATCACCACATGTGCATATATATTTAGCTCCGTGATGAAGGGGTGGGTTCCTTCTGAAAGACACTCAACTCCCAAAGTCAGAGGCAGCACTTGCTGACAGTGGCTTCCGTCCTCATGGGCTTCAGCTCGTGTTGCTTCCCACATAGTGGTTCTTACTCTGGCTTCTTCCTGCCTTGTAGAACTCTAGTTCCAGCATCAGGACAAAGGTAATGGTCTCCTGAAGACTGTAACCAGCTCCCACCATTGTATAATGTCACATTCCTGTAAAATACAGATATATAGGGCCAGGGATGTAGCTCGTGGTTCCACCGTCTGCCTCACAAGAGCAAGGTGCTGAGTTCGATCCCTGGTACTGAAAAACAAAACAAAACAAAAAATAAAATACAAATATACATACATACATATTTTATCTAACAGCTTAGTGCTGCTTCTCTGACTGAGCCCTCACTGGCACATCTCTGTCCGCCGAAAGCCTGTTTTATTATCACTTCATTAGTTGCTTAGGCAGAGTTTCAGGCAGACTGTAGAACGTGGGTCATCCAGAATGCCACCCTCTAGAATTCTCCATCTTTCACAGAAGTTCCATACCTCAAAGTATCAAGGTAAATGAAGTTTCCCCCACCTTTAGTGATGAGGCCACCATTTAACATCCAGCGACGGTTGACGGTCACTGGGGCACAAAGCGGCTGGTCCAGAAGGAGACAGAAGACTGAGGGAAGGACAAGGGCAGGCGATAGCATGGGGAATAAGCTCTCGATGTAGGTGGATCCCGAATGGAGAAGAGAAGCTAGAGCTCCTCTGGAGTTTGAGCAGCAGCAGAACTTTGTAAGCTGCCCTGTGGTGTCACTGTACTTTGTGAAAGACATCAGAGCATTTGCTGTACAGGAAGATCACTGTCCATTTGCCACCCACACCCGGAGCGGGCAGTGTCAGTTTGGAATGTGTATCACATCTTCCTGGCAGCCCCAGGTGCCAGTGAGTCACAGTATTACTCAGAAAATAAAAAATTATTACAGATGATATTTCAAGGGATGCTGATTTATCACCTAGACAACCTATGAGTTGCTTTCAGTCTCGGTATTCAGCCTAGAGTTTTTAAGGTTCCAGATACTTGGAATTCTGTTAGAAGCCAGATCCAAAGGAGGAGTTGGAGGAAACTACCTGCAAAGGAGTCCCCATGGGCTCCGCTGATCTTTACTGTGGAGTGTGGAAGAATTACATCCTGTGAGGGAAGGATGAGCACAGGCCCTGCAGAAGGTACCTCCAGCCTGAGTGTCGTGGTGCTAACAGTCACGAGGGTCCCCCACAGTGAGAGAAACTCATAGGGAGACTACTTGGACTTCACACTCACTGGGTAGTTTTGCTGTTAGGCCTATGTCTTAGCCTAGGAGGTCACCTTTTAAGTCTAATAGGTAAGAAACCTAAAAACAAACAGCCTTGTTGGACTTGTTTGTTAGTTTGGATGGGGACAAGGTCTTCCTTTGTAGTTCAGGCTGGCCTTGAGTTTGAGGTGATCCTTCTGCCTCAGCCTCCCAGATGCTGGGATTACAGGCATGCCCCACCACACCTGGCCCTGTGAACTTTTATTTAAAGAAAATATTTTTCCCTCAAGTAATAATACCACTTTATCATAAGTGTCTCACTTCCTCTGCATTTCCCATCGCTATGGCACCCAGGCAGTAACAGCAACATTCATGATTATGGTCCCTATGCATCATAAATAGGCTCCCTATCCTCGCTGTGGTCCAGTAAGGAAGGCAGGAGGGTCCATAATGCAGTTTTTGTTTTTTAAAGCAAAATATCTCCCGGTATGTTTTAGACATACCTAATGATAACATTCATCATAGGGACAATACTTTCCACCTCTTTTTCTCCCCCATTCCTCCCCTCCCTATGTACAAAAGCTTTGTTTCCATTTTTTCTTCTATTTTCACTTTTTTTTTCTTGTCCCTTTCTTCTCCTCTTTCCTGTTTCCCTAGTGCACTGTTTTTTAAAATTAGCATAATGGCTTCAAGAGCTTTCCCAGCTGTTTCCACACTCCATCCTGTGGAGCCCTCAACAGAGATCATTCTTTGCATCTCACTTGATGCCTACTTTGGTTTGAGTTTGCTGTTCCAGCAGTGCCGACACCATCCAGAAAGGAAGTTGATGCACCTGTCAGTGAAGCTTTTTATTTGTTTATTTATTTATTTTGGTGGTGGTGATTGAACTCAGGTCTTGCACGTGTGAGGTGGGCGGCAGAACCACTAAGCTAAATCCGCGGCCTCCTGTCAGTGAACCTTGAAAGTCTCTTGAAGCCAGGCTAAAGGCTCCAAATGGCTGATATTTTACTATACTTTTTAAAAAATGGAATACAATTAGGATAAGCCTAACTGGGGGGAAAAATGGCTTATGGTGAGTTTATGTTAATTAAGCAATAGATGAGACTCTTCTGCATTTTCAGGGGGAAAAAAAAAAGTCTCAAACAATGCCAGGGACTGAGAGTCTCTGCTCCCGAGCATCCTGAGTGTGTACCCCCACCCTCCACCCCAGTATTGGGGATCGAACCCACAGCTTTCTCACTGAGCCACATCCCAACCCCTTTTTCACATTTTTTGTTTTGTTTTGTTTCATTTTGTTTTGTTTTGTTTTTGTTGAGACAGGATCTCCCCACGTGTCTAAGTTGCCCAGACTGGGCTCAAACTTTCAGCCTTCGTGCCTCAGTCTCCCAAAGTGCTGGGACTGCACACGTGTGACACCATGCCCAGCTTCTCCTCTAGTTCTTTATAAAATGTGTGATTAGTTGTTTTAAACTATAGTCAATCTGCTTTACTGCAGAACAGTAGTACTTAGTGCAATTATCAGACCTCCCTCTGTTTTCCCAAACCCCTCCTTCTTAACCTCTAGCAACCACTATTTTACTCCCCACTTACATAATGTCAGCTTTTTAGCATCTACATGTGAGAATTGATGTATCTTATGTACTTTGTTCCTAGTCTCCTTCCTTCTGCTGCGCTTTCTTTTTTTTTTTTTTTTTTTTTGTCATATCCACAAATGCTTATTGGTATAAAACATGATTCTAAAATGCACCGTTTCTTTCTGGATACATTTACCAATCTAGAGCCCTTAGAACTTCTTTCTTCCAATTGAAAGTGGAAATTAGCACTGACTGGCCAAAAAAGGAGGGCAAAAAAGGACATACAAAGTTTAAGATACCACTGTACAAGATGTTAACATAGGTTTGTTTTTTCCTTTTTTTCTTAAATGCTTTTGTTTGTTTCGGGTGATATTGGAGATTGAACCCAGGTCCTCTTGCACACTAAGCAAGTACTCTACTATTGAGCTACATCCTGGCCTTCTTAAACACTTTTATATACAGCAAAACCAGAGTCTTATCTACACTTGAGTTATAAAAAGAAAAAAGGGATTTTTAGATCCCCCAAAAAATTTATAAGGAAAGATAATTATTTTAATAGTTGCCCTTAAGGGAAAATGCAGATGAGGGTGAAGCTGTCCCAAGTTAGCAATTAGATAAATCCTGAGGATTATAGCACAGGAGGAATTAGATTCCCTTTTTAGAAATGCTGCAACTCTGCTAGAAATTGAATAAATGTGATTACAGCTGTATATTTTTTGACCTGTGGTCCTTCAGCTGTGAGCGTATGACCCTCACTGAGTCAGTCGCCTCTCTGTCCCTGTCTCCTCAGTGCAAATCTGTCCAAGGCCGCGTGGGGAGCGCTGGAGAAGAATGGCGCCCAGCTGATGATCCGCTCCTATGAGCTCGGGGTCCTTTTCCTCCCTTCAGCATTTGTGAGTTCTCACCTCTAACTGTCCGCTGGGCCACATGGGAAATGAGTTGACTTTTCTGGTCTGCACTTTTAGTCGCAGTGACACCCTCCAGGTCGGCAGGTGGCAGGGTCAGGATTTCAACCCCTACCTGTGCTCTTACTCTCTGTCTGGGCTGTGCGGAGGGGTGCAGTGGGATTCCCGATTAGAGCTCGACAGCTGAAGTTAATCAGGGTACATACATAAGTGGTGCGAAACACATTGTGGAGATTTAGCAAAGGTGGTATATGACAGGAATGGCCGAGCCGAGCAGGGGACATCGAGGTGGGTGTGATTGGAGGGCTCCACTGGGAGGCAGAGGGAGGAGGATAGGTCTGAAGGCTTAGGTACAGGAGAGGAGTGGGAAAAGCATGGCACCTGGCAAGGGAAGAGCAAGAGCAAAGCCAGGAAGCAGGGAAGCTGGAGCATCCGCTAATGCTGAGGGGTCAGCAAAGGACCTGTGAACTGTGCCTCTGAGTCCCCGGACCACATCGGTGCTGTGTCTCAAGATGGCCAGCACAAATGCTCATCTCCCAGCTTTGGAATAGCACAGACTTTCTGCAGCCAAACACCAGACGAAGGGGTCACCAGGCAAGTGGGGACCAGCTTGTATAAGCCGCATGTCGCTCTAGACATTAGAATCACGTTGGTCCGGTGAGGCCTGTTCCCAGCCCCCAACACCAAGAGGCGTGGTCGCCCCAGGATCTCCCGTCCTACTTCCTCACACATCCCGGGCCACGCTCCTTAGGGGAATGGCCCACACTGAGATGGCTAGTGCTTTTTCTTGCTTTCTTCCTTTATTACCACTGGCTGTAGCTGAATATAGGATAAGCATACATGACACAGCTCCACTGTGAACCACTTTGACTGGAGCAGATTTAGACTAGGGGGTTCTCTGTGCCTGTCCTTGGGCTGGAATCTGGACCCACGCACAAAACACAGGAATTCACATCCGCAGGGTGCTGGAGAGCAACTTCCCTCCCAGCTGCCCTTGCAGGTCTCATCGGTCTGTCCTTACGCCTTCTGCAGGAAACAGCTCTTTTCTCACTTTCACCCCAACCCTCACTTGCCAGCCTTCATCCGTTCTTCTACATCTTAAAGTGTTCACTACAAAGCTGTATAACTGGGCTGTTGAGGGTGGAATTTTGCACATTTCAGCCCATTTTGTTTCCTTCCTACAGAAGGACTTTTCGTGTACAGCATCTGCAGGCCCTGGGAGGTAAATGGTTAGCTGCTTTTAGGCAGGGATAAGATGTCCCTAAGGTTCCACAGTGACAGTGGAGCACAGTCCCAAACCCTGAGATTTCATGATCTCTTCCTGATCTTCCAAGTTTATCACAGCCCACAAAGAGCCCACAGCTCTAGGATAACAGTATTTGGTAATGCGCTGTGATTATAATGATTGGCATTAAACTGAGGCTAGAGTAATCTCCCAGTACTAGTGGGAAAATTCCATGTCATTCTAGTTTGGCTTTTGCTGTAAGGATTTGCAAAATTCTAGTCTTTTGTAACTGTTCTGCCCTGATCCTTGATAATGAAGACGTTAACAGGAAAGAAACATATTGCCCTTCTGCATCCTCTAGAGCCTTCTCAGCTGCCAAATTGTAGCTCAGATATTTACTCTGTGTATACCAGAGAAGGAGATAATAGAGGGGAAAAAATAGGGATAATCACTTAGAATCTGCAGATTGATTTTATACCGCTTATGTCTACATTTTTGGAAAAAGAAAAAGGCCCACTATAGCACACTTGAGGTAAAGTAGAAATTTCATTGTTTATGAAGGCCATCAGAAAATAAAAAGTGGATTCCACCCTGTTGTATTATCCTAACAGATTCAAGAGATAAGCTTTAACCGGCTCACTAGGTGATTGACAGACAGATTCACAGTTACATTTGAGATTGATTCTGTCTATCTAAATCTTTAATAGATGTATCAAAGGCAATGCAGTACTGGCCCAATTCTGTAGCCGTTTGTATATTTTCTGTTCTCTTTTTATACATGTGAAAAACTGAAGGCCGAGATAAGAAATAAGAGGAAAAGGATGAAATGGGGAAAGATAAATAATTAGGACTTTGTTTATATGCCAATCAGCTATCTAAAAGAGAAACGATGGCCTTTCAATGTATGGGCTTAGTTTTATTTTCTGTTTTTCTGTGTGTGAAGTGAAGTATATGAAGTTAGAGTTAGAAAAAGAGTATATTAAGAAGATGGAACGTTCTCCCACAGGGTATTGGCTGGCCTTGAGCTGCACAGGCCAGAACGGTAAGTACTTCACAGCCGCTTCCTCTGTAACACTGGTGAGGACCCACAAACTGTCTAGTCTGCAGCCATTCTCTCATCGTATTGAACTGTCCTACATTTGTGACTCGGGCAAGGTGCCAAAGTTAGGCAGGGTCAGAAGTACTCAGAAGTATAACCTTGGCTTTCCTGCCTATCTGTTGCTCGTGAACATCAGAGAAGCACCCTGTACTGGAGTAGTAAGACAAGAGGCGTCCTCCCGGGTGGAGCTGAGTACAGAGAGGCGCAAAGGCGCAAGGTGACCACCCCAGGAGGGCGTAACCTAAGGTGAGAGGGCTGTAGTGTTTTTGTTATACAAACAGCAGCTTAAGCCCATTAAAAAGAAGAAACTTATTGAAGATATACGGAGGAAAGTCGTAGAATCAAAGAAATTACTGAACCGCTGAGACTCGGGAGGGTGTTGCCAGTCCAGCTCTGGGGACTTCAAAGTAGGCCTTCTCCCTGATTGCTGCCACCGGTTGGCTCTGAAGCTCAGAGGATGGCCCTCGGCACTTCTGGGGTCGTCTCAAGCTTAGGTCTACTTTCCATGCCAGCCCCTATCTATTCATTGAGTAAAATGCCTTACCGCTTTCTCTATTGATCCTAAATGTAAAATGTTTGCTGACAAGAATGCAGTTTGTCATAAAATGAGGCAAGGTATTGTTTCTTTAGCTTTCCCTCTTCAATAGGAGTAAGACAGAGCTGTTGATACTTTTAGTTACATCTTTGCCAAAGAGATTGGGCCCATGGAGTTGGCAGTTCTCCTTCAGGCCTGAAAGCATCCAGAGTCCCTTCTCAGGACCATCCCCTTGTGCCTTCTGGGCAGAACTCCATGTCTCTGCCTCCCACATTTCTGAGCTATCAGCGCCCGGAGTTGCCTCTTTCGTCCTTCACCAGCGGCCATCTCGATCACTGTGTCCTGAACAATGATCTGAGGCCAGCATTACAGTCAGGAATGGCACAGCCTCAAACAGCACGGGCAGCCACCTAGAGGGACCCCTACGGTTCCCCTTTCCACAGCCCCGGCCAGAGCCTGTCACCTGGCAACCCGGCAGCCACGTGACAACATGTCCTAGGCCCCAGAAACTGAGGTGGATGGAGAGCTAACCTGTCCCGTTCATAGTAAAGGTGCTACTTGAAACCTCTGAGATTGATCTGGAAGCTGATGAGTTCTTGGTCACTGAATAATGACTGTTCCCATTTCTTTCTGCTTTTTTTTTTTAAGTGAATCAGTCCATAAATACTTCTTCTCAAGATCAAACTATCTTGCATGTGGAGCATCAGTAGCTCTCCCTCTGATTGGGGCACTTTCAGGAGCCTTAGAGATTAATGTCAAAGTACATCTGACCTGTGTGACCAGCACTTAGTAGTACGTGGCACGTACGGAGTACCTGATAGGAACTTGCTGATTTAAGTCAAAGACTGTTCTTTTGAGGTCTGATATTACCAATGCTATAATGTCCTCTGGAATGTTTCTTCCTATGTATTTAACTTTTAAATTAGATGCACACATCTCTGGAAAATCTTAATATAGGAAAGATCCCCTGACTTCAAAGATCAGTGGCTATGTATCAAGCCCTAAGGCATCTGTGTGTGTGTACTAGGGAGGCAGAAGTCTCTCTCTGAACTGCATTCCATTTGGTATTTATTGAATGCGTAGCACACAGTGTGGCTAGAACTCCTCCTGCCCCCATGAACAATGCACACAGCCACCTCAGAATCGAGGGCTAATGTCCAGTAGTAGCATAAGGGCCCCTGCTCTTAGGGCTCAGAGACACCTTGGCCTCTTTAGAACCCACGGTTCATTGGCTGTCGAGATGGTAGATTCCCTGTTTTCTGTGGCAGAACCAAGTACAGCAATCCGATCCCCAAAAAGTCAAGTCTCCACTTCACCTCAGCCTCCAAGTCTCTGCTTTCTCTTTCCTCTATTCTGGTTAAGCTGTTTTTGGTTTTTTTTGTTCTCAGAGATGGCACATAGTACAGGAATATGCGCTCTTCTTAAGATGGGGACTCTGGCTGGAAGAATTAATACAACTTCCAAGAGCAACAGCTGAGCCTATTCTCAGCCTCTTACCCCACAATGGTGCCCCTCCTCGCTCTCCCAGCACCACTTCTGTCCACTTCCTGGGGCTGGCCCACTGCTTGGCTCCCAGAAGGTTTCCCAGGAGTACACAGCTAGGCAACAGTGTTTCACTGAGCCCTGTCGTACAGTCTCCCACACAGCTGAGAGGCCCCTGGCCTCTAACCCTTCCACATCTAGTTCTCATATCCTATCTCTTCTGCCCTGGTTAAAATATATATATATATATATATCCCCTGGACTCGCTGGCTCCTCACATCCTCATCACAGGTTTCCACTCTGCTTCAGTGCTGTTTCTGCCCACATACCCTGTTCTGTGTTCCTGTGCCCTTCAGTGGTTCCCCTGGGCCCACAAGAGAACATCCAGATTCCTTTGTGGGACATCAAGGTCCACCAAGAGCATTTCATCTCCCATACGCCTGGGCTCTGGTCATTTGATGAATGTGGGTCGGGGAGCAACAGGCCCTTAGTAATTGTGTCATCCTGAGCTACTTCCCTTCTTCTCAGCCAGAGACACTAAAAGAACTTGGAAGTGGATAAAACATGGGAGAACACATGGAGTGATCCCAAAAACCAAGAAAAGGAACTCTCCAGGACACAGAGTTGGAAGATTTAGGGACCTGAGAGGTATAGGAATCACAATGACAGAGAATGGGCTTGGAATTTGGTAGACCAGAGCCGGGGACCCACTTGCTAGCCAAGTTATTTTACTTCTGTAGGCCCCGTTACTTTCCATTACTCCACAGTACAGTAACTAACTCAGGATCATGAGAATAAAGAGGTAGAACCTATACAGGGTTTAAGACAGTGCCCGGTACCTACCATGTGCTCAGCAGAGGCTGTGGTTTCCAGTGACAATGGCAGCAGAATGTACAGCACATAGCCCAGCAGAAGCTTGAAGGTCTCCTAGGCTTTCCGTCAAGTCAGGATCTTGACATCACTTCCGGGATGTTGTGGTGCTGCTGTTTCTCTTCCTCCTGCACTACGCTCAGCCAGCCCTATGCATATGAGAACCATCCCACAGGGCCTGGGCAGGAACACGGGCATGGGGGTTCAGATCCTGCCTTGCAGGGGGGACAGGCCACCACCATCTTTCTGTGATTCTTTCCCTGTTGCTTAGTCCATTTCTGATCAACTGTGCTCCTACTGGGAGGCTCAGCGGCTGTCACTGTTTTACCCAGAAAGCCTGATGCCTTGTGTGTAGGGTTGGCCCATTCGCAGTTGCTGCTCAGACTTGTGTGGCCAACAAACAAGCAGCATCTCCAGCTGAAATCCTGGCAGCCCTCTTGCTCCCTGTGATGGAGTCGAGCTGCCAAACCAAACAATAACCCAGCACTTTCACTCCCAAAGCTGTCGAAGGGAAAAACCAGCAATTTCTCCTATGTGATATGTGTCCACCCTCTCACCTGGTGTTTTATAAATGTATTGTCTTCACTGTCTTTTAAGTATCTGTGCCTAGGAGGGTGCCTTCCTCTGTTTTGTAAAATGCCACGCAATACCACTGTGATATATAAATAATGATAATTAGGAGACAGCCTCAAATTATTTGACATCCAGATTGAAGGGAAAAGTGGTACTTTTTTTTTTTTTTTTGTATAATACCCTAGAATTTGGATCAAAAATGGCGTTCAAGAAGAAAGCATATTGCTTCCTGTCTGATATGGATGGTTCAACACTTGTATCTGAGGTCAGATTCCACAAAATGGAGGCCTGGGTCAAAACATGTAGGGCACAAGATCTGGTCCAGGCTGTGAAGAATCTTCCACTGCCACGATACAGATGGAAATAACAGTTAAGCTAGGAGAAAAAGAAGAAAGTCTTTTTTTTTTTTAAACTAAAACTCCATAAAAGTACTTAGTGATCACCACATTGGTACCACTTCCCCACCTCTGGCCCCTTCTACCACAATTTCCAGACTTCGGCTCATCCTGACGCAACCTGCCTACCTTAGCACTGACTCTTGATTTGCAAGGACTTCTTTCATTGTTACCGTTTTGTGCTGAATCGGAGACCATTTGTTTGCTTAGTGGAAGCATCATAGGACCAAGAACCAAAAAGACAGGGTTCCCATTTCCAGCCTTGCTGCTTTAGTTAGCTACATGGCCCTGCATAACTAGTTAAGCTCCAGATTTGGTTCCTCCTCTATTAAGTAGGAGGAAAATATTCAGTTATACCAGTTTACTTCCTGGAACACTTGTCACATGTCAATCATTGTTCTAAATAACATATCCCTACAAATCAGATGCCATCATTCTCTTCATTTGATAAACCAAGGCCCGGAAAGGTGAAGTAACTTGCCTCGAGTCCCACAGCAAATAAGCTAGAGATAAGCAAATAAGTAAGCAAATAAGAGATTATGAAGAATTTCCTCTGATCTGAAAAGTGTCAAAGGTAAGATGTAAGGAGGCACCCAGTGCTGCATCTGGGGAGTTGATGGCTGAGTGGGAAAAAGTAGGGGGCACGGAGGAGTCTGTGGTGACCTTCAGTGACCAGGCTCAAAGCCTTCAGGAGTCTTTGGTCTCCCAGCCACTTCCTCCTCTTCCCTACCCTCACATGTCCCTTATGTTTTTCTTTTAATCTCTTTCCAATTTATTTCTTTCCTTGGATACCCTTTGTCCAGAGTCACCTCACTTGTGTCTACACTTTTTGCAGTACTAGTCCTTGAGTCACCTGTTACCCTTCGCTGTCTTCTGTCCTCATCTGGCAGGGACTCTTGAGCGGCTGCTCTAGGGAGTCCCTGTCTAGACCTCTGTCCAGGCTGCTGCAATCTGCCTTCATAGCAGGACATTGCTCTTCTGAAGCCTTCTGCACCTTCTCACTGTTCACATAAAGGCCACCTCCTTCACCAGGGCCCATGGTGCTTTGGGTTGTAAGTGACAGAAATTCAACCCAAGCAAGCGTGAGCAATAAAGCAAAGAGGATGAATCCCTTTCTTCAGGCAGGACTTGAATCCAGGGGCAGCTCCTCAGGACCATGCCCTCAGGGTTCTTGTGGACCTGAGATTCCCCACAGAAAGACCACTCACGTGCCATCCCGAGTCCCACAGCCATGGAGTGATTCTGATTTAACAGGTACCAGCCACAGAAGTCCATGCTGCCCCCTGTTGAAACCTTTCCAGTGTTTTAACCCTCCACCCCCGGATGTGCCTGCTGTGTGCTTTTCTAGCTCTGCCCTGGATTTTACTGGCCTCTTTTCTGATGGTCTTCCCTACCATCACTCTGTTTACCAAAATTATACCAATTTTTCAAAGCCCAACTAAAATACTATGTTCTACAAAGCCTTTCCTTATCCTGCTACTGGAAATAGGTCATTCTTCCTTTTATGCCTGGCTTTTATGTCCGGCATGTTTCACATACCACCTTTCACTGTATTTCAATTGGCATCTCTATTAGAAATGCTGCAACCCTCTACCTTTTGTGGGTCTTAACATGCATGAGTCACTTTCCCCCATGTATTCCATTTGTTCCCATGCAGAAGCCAACGGAGCAGGGGAGGTGCTGCAGTCCCGTGTTTCTTACACACCTGCTGTACATGAGGGCTTGTGCTGGGTGCCGAAGTTAGAAACATCAGCATGATGACCACCAGGAGCTTTACCATCCCACTTTCACCAAGGAGGAAATTGAGACCAATACATAAGTAGCCACCTGTCCCACCAACCATCTGTTTTAGTTCCTGTAACATGCAAAGATCCTAGCCACCCTGCTATTCCCTCCACCTAGAACATTCTTCTTCCCCACTCCCACTTCAAGCTCTCCTCTTTTCCCAGAGTTTATTGATGGGAAGGGTTCTGCTGACTGTCCTCTGCCCAACCCCTAAATCCTGCTTCCAAAGCCCCATTGTTCTCTTGTAGTGTTGTTCCCACAGCACTTGCTACAAATTGTGATTATTTTACTTGTAGAAATGTGTTTGCTTGATATTTCTCTCCAGACTGTACACTCCCAAGAGCACAGAGATAACCAGGACTTGTGTATGTCACATGCCTTCATCCCCCTACCTCTGGACCCTTGCCCGAGACTTGTGCCAGCAGGGACCCCCAAGACAGTAGTTCCAGTCAAGCAAAAAGGAATTCTGTAGAGTCACACAAATCAGAGACTTGGGTATCTAGTGACCAGAATTCCCAGGATCCCCTAGGTCAAAGGGTGTGGGTTTATATGGGATCTTGGGCTACTCAGGAAGAGGAAGCCTCAGGAGGAGGAGTTAGGGGCAAGCCTAGAAGTAGAGCTTATCTTGTGTTCACGTTTCCCATCTTCTGTGAAATCTTAGCATCACTAGGTGGGGTGGATGTCTGATACCATTGGGGTGTGCTGCTTTTCACCATAGTTCTTACTCCAATAGTGCTGTATTCCAGTTTCAACTGTGTGGAAGTTGTAGTCAGCACCTTCCATTTTAGTGCCCCGTTGAGCTTGGGTTAGGTTAAGCAAAGAAGCCCACCGACCACAAGGGGTTACTAAAGTGCAAGTTATAAAATTACAAGAAATAGATGTGATGACCATGGACTGTGGGGCTCCTCTGACCTTTTAGCTGCCTGGTAAAGTGAATGAACACTAATATCAGCCACGCACACGACTCAGGACCAGAACAAAGGAGAGGACTTAGACTGTCTGAGGCCAAGGTCAGAGAGACTTGCCATATCCCCCTATGCTGTAGCGATAAGGCCAAAGTCCCCTAGGTTTCGTGACCACAGAGACTAAATCGTAGTGCTCATTCTTTTCCTCCTTCCCAGGACGTTAGCACTGTTTGGTATGAAGCTCTTTAGATACAAAGGATGGGTCTGCATATGAACAGTGGGCAGAGGCATGAGATACAGTTGGATAGACTGAAAAGCAGAGTACCAGGATAAGCAAGGAAGCCGTGAAGATGCCCATGTGTGGAGGCCTGGGGGACATCACTAATGTATTAAGCATCTGCACTGTGCAGGCCCTGGGGCAGAAGAAAAGGCAGCACACACTCATCAGCCATCAGCCTGGGTAGGGGGCACCTCCACCCCAGTGCACACCAGAGATTAGCACCCTGCTCAGGAGGTCATGGAATGAACCTTCCATGTGGTAGATCTTGAAAATTTTTCATTTTTATATTCCTACTGGAGCACTTTCATTATACATGAGAATAACTTTACTTCTTACCCCTGAGCAGTCTGTTACTATAGCAATATTGAAAGTATTTTAAGATATTTTTATACAGTGAATTCTACAGCCTCCCTGCCAGCCTGTACATAGTGTTTAGTAGAATGGGTTGCAATCTCCAGAACTGTTGCTTTTGATTCCCTCATATCTTTTGTTAAACTCTTGAAAAACTTAATTCCTGAAATGTAAGCCTCTTTTATTTTTAGGAAAGAAAATAATTGGGAAGAGTTACAAATATATTTGCCTATGAAACATTGAAAATAGCTCTGAAATCACTTGGATTTTTTGTGGCTCTCCGAAGGATATAATTGTTTCTTGGGATCTTCTGGTTCTTTTTAGAAAACAAAATGCAATCATAGATTCCCTCTGTGTGTCTGCAGGGCCTGGCCAGCTTCAAGGTGAAGCAGAAATTCTTCTCCGGCAGCCAGGAGCTTGCAGCCCCCTTCCCCGTGCCGTACGATCTGCCTCCAGAAGTGTACGGAAGTAAAGGTGAGACACGGGTGTAGGGAACCATGGGTGGGGGTGTTGTGCTAAAAGCAAACAGAGCCAAGAGATGCTGTTGGTCTCTCGGTGGGAGCCTGGTTTGTGGAACCCTGTGGAAGATCAGGTTTGCAGCAGTCTGTCTGGGCCACTGGAGCAGCAGCCCTCAACCTGGTTGGTCTTAAAACCCTTTCGTAGTCTTAAAATTATTGAGAAGCATGAAGAACTTTTATTCACATGAGACTTCATATCTATACATGTTTACTATGTTAAAAATTAAAACCAAGAAATATTTACTTATTGACTTATTAGTTTGGGCCAGGCATAGTGATACACTCCCAGCACTGTGGGAGGCTGAGGCAGTAGGATCACAGGCTGAAGCCCAACCTAGGTAAATTAGTGACTTAGACCCTGTATCCCAAAAAAAAAGGCTGGGATGTAGCTCAGTGTGAAGGCCCTGCATCCAATCCCTAGTACAGCCAAAATAAAAATAATAAAATAAATCCATTGTAATGATTGTATGATTGATTATTCCTAAAGTTAGAAGAAGAATGAGCCAGTAAAGTGCTGATTATTTAATGTTTTCTGAAGTTGCTTCTTTGTGCATCATGAGAGGCCACTGAGCTGTCACAGCAGCCCCCCCCATCTGTTGGTACTCTGTGTCACCCACCTCTGCACACTTGCGTGGATGTGACCATGAGCACAGTGAAGACTGGCTTAGTGAGGTCCCCTTGCCACACTTTGAAAACGGCCGCACTAGACTGAATTTCCTAAGGTCAGTGATCAAGTAAGTTTCACCATAGAAAATCCCCGGGCGGGGGGCCGGGCGTGGTGGTGTATGCCTGTAATCTCAGCACTCTGGAGGCTGAGGCAGGAGGATCGCTGTGAGTTCAAGACCAGCCCGGGCTATGCAGTGAGTTATAGAGCAGTCTGAATTACATAGTGAGACTCTAGCTGAAAAACAGACAAACAAAACGAAAAGCCCTGGGAATATCCTCAGCAGGTCTCCTGACCCCAGAGCCAGCTGGCTGAGGTGCAGCTCCTCTACCCCTCCATCCCCCACCCCCACCCCCGCCCTTGATGTGATCCAGCCTCATCTCCAGCCAGGCCACCCGTACCCACACAGAGGAGCTGTGCAATTAGGACACCATTAATAATTTACAATGGCAAGTGCTTATTACATCACCGTACCCAGCGTCTTCTCCCCTAGAGGCTAGAGACCCACATGAGCAGCAAAATTGTGATCTGCAGGTTTTCTAACAGGGAATCTGAACGTGGAAAACTTGATTGCAAAGTTTTAGCGACGTCCCTCCATTAACACTCCAAACTCCATTTCCTTGAGGGAGCTGGCCTCACCCAGTATGGCCTGCTCTTGCCCACGTGATACTGCCTGACTGCCAGCAACTTCCCCACCCTGCCTCCCACCATGGACCTGTTTCTTAGAACACACTGATCCTCTGTCAAGCCAGTCCTCTCTCCTGCTGTCAGTATGTCATCGTGCCTTACAAGTGACTCTGTACCTCTCTGATCATTTGTGTTGATAGTAAGGTTCCAAAGCATTCTTCCTCTCTTCCCAAAGCATCTATGACTCTGCTAAGTTTGTTGTATGTTAATGAAGATTTCTTTTCTGTTAGCAAAGTTATACAGATTTGATCAGAATTTCATGGAATCCATGATCAATCTGCCTGCTACCAAAAATTTAAAGAGGAAAACCATGCTCTAAATCCAGGCTGTGGTCACATGCGAGCTCTACAACGTCCTAAGAAACTTTGAGCAGTTACTTTTCCAGGCCTTTGTATCTCTTTGCAGCATAAGTAAATATGAGTGCCTACCTTAAGGAATGCTGAAAAAATGAACTGAGATGATATCTATAATGTGCTTAACACTGTGTCTAATTCAGGGTTTTCATAATTATCCTACTTACAGTGGCCAGCTCAGTTCCTGGCACATGAATTACCAGGAATTCTCTTCCCTCTCCTTGACCTTGGTAAACAGTGCTTTTTTTAAGCAAGAAATGTTCTTTATTTGTGCACAGCATTATAATCAACAGTACTCAGTCATTTATGAATTAAATTTTATTGTATTCATTTAACCAGTTAACAGTGTTACTACCTGTCAAATCCCGAGTGCTCAACTGAGACAGAGGTGCTCGGAACACTGAATGGAAAGAGAAAAAGACTAAGAAAAGCCAACAGAGACACTTCAGAAGCAATTCAAGGGAATGGCTCAAGGGCACCATCAGGTCTTTCTCAATATTAAGAGGAGTTTCACAAAATCATTTTTTAAGGCATTTTACTAAAACGTAGAAAAACAAGTGGTTAAGAACATTCTAAAAGCATTTCATTTTTAAAAATTTATTTTCAAAACATTATAACACATACCTAGTATCTCGTTTCATATTTTTTCAAACCAAAAGACTACAGAAAAAGCTTTGCAGGGAAAATTTTAAAGATCAGAGCAGAAATTAATGCATTTGGAACTAAGAAAACAATATAAAAAATCAATGATTTGAATAGTTGGTTCTTTGAAAGATTAAATAAAATTGATAAAGCCTTAGAAAAAGCTTAGCAAAGAAATGTGCCATGAGCCAGATGCAGTGGTACACACCTGTAATCCCAGTGTTCTAGGAGGCTGAGGCTGTAGGATCACAAGTTCAGTCCCAGCTTGGGCAATGTAGCAATTCAGTGACCCCCGCCTCAAACTTTAACAGTTTAAAAAAGGACTGGGGCTATAGCTCAGTGCAAAGGCCCTAGGTTCAATTCCTTTTACTGCAAAACAAAACAAAAACACCTGCCATGAAAAGTTACGCCCAGGTATCATGAAATTAAAAAAAAAAAAAAAAAAAAGATCAAATGAAATGAAGCAGACACAGGATTTCTTACTTTGTGCAGTAGTTGCTGTTTATCCATTCTCTCTGCAGATTCATACAGAGCCTGATGTATGCAGGCGCTGTCTGGGTGCTTGGTTATATATTGGTAAGCCAGGGAGACCCAAGTTTTCTCTCCTGAAGTTGTGTATAACCAAACCCATTATGCTAACAGGAGCAATATTTTTTCAAGAAGTCTTCTGATAAAGAAAATTCACCAATTTTTAAAATTTTATCTGATGGTTACAAACCACTGAGCACCCACAGTGTGTAGGATAATGACAGTCCTCGGCCCCTGGGAGTCGAGATGGTGGTGATCTTTACAGCCGTTAGCACTTCACTAAGCACTATTTATGAAGCAGGGGCAAATGGGAGCATATGGCGCGAATTATTTCATGGCACCCTCACAGCTGCATGCATGAGTACTGCAGTGCCACCCCAATTCCAGATGAGGATCCTAGGACCCTCGGGATAACTTGCTCAGGTCCCACAGGCAGGCTGGCCCCAGCATCCACTTCCCTTTACCATTACCCTGAGCTCCCTCTGCAAGCACTGAGTTCTGGAGTTAGCAAAAAGGCGTAAGAGGCGTACAATCCAGCCACAGAGAGACAAAGATATCGAAGCCCCGCAGGCTGCCATTCCCAGCCCTCCAGATGCGGCCTTGACCAGGCCTCCTCAGTTGTCACCAGACCTGGCTCCTGGTTCCTCTTGGCAGTCTCTCGCTTCCCACCGGAAGCCATCCTCTCCACTGCTGCCACGCACACCTGGTCACATCCCTCTCCTCTCTACAGTCTTCGTTATATTCCAAGGAGAACACAACAGCATCCCGTCCCCTTCAGCCTTACATCCCAAACTCTGCCTGCAGCCAGATCATCTTTAGAATTTGATACAACTGCACACTGCCAGGCCCCAGCCTGGTCTGGGTCCCGGAAATGCACTTACTCTGACAAGTGAGTCTGTTGTGGGTCAGGTTAAGGAGCCGCTCCACAGACATGATGACAACTGTTGGCCAGAACGCCATCTGCCGGGCATCCAGCTCACCTGTGCTCTAAGCTGCATGAGGCTTGCAGGTCTGGCTTTTCTTCTGCTCTGACCACAGCACCTAGCAAAGTCCCTGGCATCTAGCTAGCCCTTAAATATGCATAAATGTGCTACAAGGCCAGCTATGTCATGGGAAGATTCAGGAAGTTGCTTGAAGTAAGTTTCCTGTAAGCCACTTTTAATGCTGATTTCCAGTAGCAGGGGGTAAAAAGAAGCTGAATTCCAGCCACCCTCCTGTCTCCCGGACTGTTTTTCTGGCTTTCCTGTAGTTGGAGTAGAAGTTCAGGTAGACCTGTCAGCCAGCATAATGGGTGCTCAGCCCGTGGTGCAGACATTCTGCTCATTTATAAAGCAGAGCTACAGGGGATTTGCCAACCAGGCGGTTACCAGACCCTTGCTCTGTCATTATTGCATAATTTTGAGGAAAAGGAAAAATGGAGTGGTGATCTTGATGCTGCTGCTTAGTAAATGTCTGCATCCCTAATCCTGCATTACTGTGAAGAACATCACGATCAACTGCTTCATTCCCTCAGCCTCGGAATATAGCAGAGCTGATTTTACCCCACAGAGCAGTAAGACTGGTAAATAACAGAGGTCCAGACACAGAAGATGTGTTTGCAATAGAAGAGCATGGGGGTTCGAGTCAGGCCCTCCTCCATTACCCTGCCAGTCCCTGGACCTCTTATGAAACAAACGCAGGAAGCAGAGTTGCTACACTCGCAACAAGCTTGTTATATGAACAAAGAGAACTTGGTTTCATGCTTGCCAGCCTTCCCAAGGCCAAAGGCGATCAACAATGTTCTGATAATTTGTTGCCATTTTGGAACCCTTTTCCTGCACATCCTGCTGGGTGCTGCTATTTGCATGATTGCTCCGAGATTATTGAGCACAATCAGCGAGGTCTGCTGCAAGGAAAGTGTAACAGAGACCATTATTTTCCAAGCTGTCTACTGAGCTGCCTTCACCTCTGGAGTGGAGGGGAGGGAAGGCTCCAGGAGAAAGCAGAAGGGGAGGCTGCAGTCCGCTGGGGCAGCCTGGCCGTCTCTTTTAGACCTGGGAAGTGGAAGTTTACAATAAGCACTGCAGCCCTTCAAAGTTGGGGATTTATTTTTAATCCTTGTGATATATTTATACCCTGCCCGTGTTGTTATGGCTCTTTTGAAATGGTGTGTGACTCTAGCGGTAGTGATGCGTGGCAAGAGTGATTTATGGAAGTTATTTTCAATTTCTGGGGGGAAAAAATCAGTTAAAAGAAGAAAAATCCCTGTTTATCGAACACCTACAACTTGCCAGGAACTTGCACAGATGTTCTCATTTAGCTTCATAGTAATCCCTGGCAGTTGCTAACATAGTAATTTCCAGTTTCATAGAGGAGGAACCAAGGCTAAAACCCAGTGCCTTCGCGAAGGTGCTGAGCGGAATGGAGGTGGCATTTGGACGCAGGTCCTCAGAGCTTTCTCCAGTGTGCTGTGCCCCGGCGTGCTGCTTTTTCTTTGACCTGGGTCTGCGTCATTTAACAGAGACTTCACGTCTCATCAGTGGTGAACCTTCAACAACAAAAGCTGCACCGGTTATTACTGTTGCTCTCTGTAGCTTCCTGAAAGAAAAAGAAATAGCTGCAGTGAGCTGCACCTTTGCCATTAGCAGATGCTGTGCCTCCCCTGCGCTATGATTTGTCTCATTTATTCCTTGGGTCAGGTCCGTGACGTGAGTGCAGATGAGGAAGCTGGGTTCGGCTTGCTGAAGTGACCTGTGGTGTGGCTCAGCCCTGTGGCAGGGCTAGGATTCACCTCCGGGGTTCTTCTGCTAGCCCATCTGCCTCTCTGCTCGCACTCATCCAGCTGTGTCCTAATGTGGGTCTTTACATCGTGTGCAGGGGTATCGGCTGGGGCTCATTCAGAACACATCGTTTGCAGGTTGGAGAATCTAGTACACAAGTGCTTTTGTCCGTCAGGCAAAGAATTTTCCTGTGATCCTGTTCAAATATATATATATGTGATGTGTTCTCTCTCCAGACCGGCCGTGGATCTGGAACATTCCTTATGTCAAAGCACCAGATACACACGGGAACATGTGGGTGCCCTCCTGAGAGCCCTGAAGCCCTGTGAAATTGGAGCGTAAGATGTTGAGCCTCAGATCCTGAATGTTCTTGTTTGTACTCAACGTTCACTTTCCTCAAAGTCTTACTTTCACTTCTAGAAAACTCTTTGTAAAGGTTGCTCTCGTGAACACGGGTGTTGCACTTTTAATGGTCATTACTGACACTCCTACTTTTAAAAAAGTGCTATTTTCTTAACTCACTTTTATATGCTTTGGGAAGAAAGCAATTAAACTTCACGATGTTAAAAATATATGTACATATATAAATGTGAAATTATTCTTCTGGCAATGTAGACTGTCGCGGTAGTGCCAGCTGTTCTGAACTGAAGGTTGACCTTGCACTTGGTACTTCCTCCCTCTCCATCTCCAGAGGTGCCCTCCATCCAAACAGGAGCTTTGCTGTCTCGCTCCTGCCCTCTCTTCACTTTCCGGGTGTGCCTTGAACACACTGCAGAACCTGAGTCTAAAGACATTCCTGGGATCAGTGGCTGAGGCTGGTGAGCAGCTCCAGCCCTTAGAGTCTGGCTGGGGAGACAGGGCTGCTGGGCTCCTATCACCTTCCAGCAGAGAAGCTCCCCTTTACATGTTAGGGTTCCATCAGGATATTATTGGGGATACTTTTCTGCTTTTTTTAAAAAAAGGCATAAGAACCACAGAATTAGTCTAACCACTACATTTCACAGGTGAGAAAACGAAGGCTTCTCTGGCCCTAGCCTCTGTGTAGGTACCAGTGTCCATGCCCTCATCACTTGAGCCCTGCTGCAGTGAGGTCCCCTGTGCTGGCAGTTGATGCCACTGTCACGGTGGGGCCAGCCCTAAGCGGATGCCCCACAGCCAGCTGGGCAAAGACCCTGAGGTTTGATGCTCCCCTCCTTGAGGGGCCGGGGACTTGGTGGTGGTGGCACCAGGTTCGAAGCAGTGCTCAGCAAGCCTCTCCTTCATCAGGGCATCTTTGAAATGGCTGCGAGTGGTCAGCCTGCTCTGGACCCAGCCAGTCAGTGCGATAGCATTCATGCCTGCGAGGGTACCCCTCCGGGCTGTGGAGGCCACCTTTGGGCCAAGCAGGCTGAGCACAGAACTCAAGGTCACCCTGGGCAAGCCTCCTCGGTTTGCACCCAGTGGGGGGCAGCAGTGAGGTGCCCCCTGCCCATGAGCGTGGGCTCACTGAAGGCAGGGCCAGCACCATGTGTTGCCCCAGCAGCATTACGAGGACACAGGGGAAATGGTGCCCCAAGAGTATGGAGAACATGTGGTATGCAAAAAGTAAGCACTTCTGTCCACACAGTCCTTTTTATCGCGAGTGCTTAAAAAAAAAAAAAAAAAAAAAAAAGCACCATCAAACCTGCACATTAATTTTTTTGAAGAAACTGTACTTCAGTTATTCTCAGATTGAGGTTCAGCAGTTATTTCTTCCTGCCCGAAGCACATTCCCCTTCTTCCTATCTATGGGAAGCAGGATGGCCCCTTCTGTCCCTTTTTCCCATCGGCTACCATTTGAGGTCTCACAGAGACACTGTCCAGTGGCTTTAAATACCAATGAGAACAAACTACCATGAGTCCACCTTTACCATCTTTAAACCACCAACAAAGGAGACTGAGAAAGAAAGATGCCTTTCTTTCCCTCTTCCCTTCTTGTTTTGTTTGTTTTTTTGAAATGTAGTTCAGGCTGACCTTGAACTCACTGTATAGTCCAGACTGGCCTTGAAACTCACAGAGATGCTCCTTCCTCAGCCTCCCAAGCGGACTGTTGAGATTGCAGGTGTGTGCCACCATGCCCAGCTGGCTGGCTTCTCTCCCTCCCTCCCTCTCTCTCTCTCTTTCTCTCTCTCTCTCTCTCTCTCTCTCTCCCCCCCCCCCCCCCCC